CTTGCTCCAACGTCTTCCAACTAAAAATACATTTAAAAAAATACAATCTTATAGTAAGACATAAGTGGTTAAACAGTAGAACAATGTATTTCCACAATTTCAATTTATTAACAAATAATAGCATTTACCTGAGCAGGAAAGCAGTTGCAGGCCACTTTTTGCCTTATAATTCTCAACATATCCTCCTTAGTTTACGAGATATTCCTGATCCACAACAAAAGAACACATTAGACGATTCACATGCATAGAATTGTAATTTTTAAATTCGAAATTTCTTTTCCCAGACCAAATCTTGTGTCACAATACCCATTGACCAGAAAATTAATTCTCACTCATACACATGTAATATACATGAGTGTTTGTGTATATACCAACGAAGGAGAAATTCCCAATTAGATATGTCGAATAAATTTTCAAAATGCACGCACGCACGTGCGCGCACACACACACACACACACAATGATTTACACATATATCGATGTACATACCAAATGTTTGTTAGGTGTTGGGATAGGGTAGGATTGGTTTTTGAAGAAGAGATTTATAGCGTTAATACTCAACAAATAGAGAGATTTTCTTTAGTTTTTTTTTTTTTTTGTTCTTGTTCTTCCATGATTCAGACTGAGAAAATTAGAGAAACTGAAGGTACAAATCTTCTATCTGTTTGGCGGCTTGGTCAAGATCCCCGCCGACGTACCATACTTCACTGTTGTTCGATCCTGGCTCTTTCTCGCGCTACATTTTCAATAGATTGGAGACCCTATCGGTAATTTCTTCTGCAGAGATGGATCGCAAGTTAAAATGATTTTTACTATAGAAAATTGCAGTAATGATTCTCTATGTATTTATCTAAAAATAATGCGTGTACATGACATTCCCTCTCGTATAGGGGAGAATATATGCATCGATATCCAAAAGTGTAAGTAATTTTGTGGATATTTACCAAAGCAATAAGGTCGTATTTTATACCTACTCGATATACATATTCAAACACAAATTAAAATAGGAGATCGTTGAACCGTCGATAAAACGATTATCATGTACATTAAATTTAGAACGAAATGTATGCTGTAATTATTTCTGGAGCTTGTAAGGTCATTTGATTCCAAAAGTTTACTAGACAAGTAGGATTGGGGAGCTCGAACATACCTGTTGAAGAATTCAACCCAACATTATAGTGCTTGACTAGGCCTACTGGTGTGCCGTCGTAGGCACCCAAAAATAGTCCTTAAACCTCTAAAACTAATGTAGTAATGGAAGTAAGGGTCGATCCCACGAAGAGTGTGTAATTCAATATTTTAT